GGTAGGCACCAAGTTATTGTAACAAGTTTTTCATGTCAGTTACGTGGACAATTTTTTCATCGCTCTATTCACATCAATAATAGACGCACTCTACAGAAAAGAAAAAAAAAATTCCCCCAAACCAAAACACGGTATCTGATCTGATATATTTAAATACATCACACTCATTGGAAGTGTTAATAGCATAGTCTTTACAACTAGCCCAAAGCATATATTTATGGGGATTTTTATAAGTTGTTTGTGATGTTCACATGTTTAATTCTTATGCCAAACCTTTTTCTGATAAAGCCAGCATTGTGCTTTATGCAAGAATGGAACCTCAAACTAATCACTTTCAAGCTCTTCTTAGACTTATGGGAGAGTAAACTAGGATGATCCACAGAGATAAGATGAGCTCCACAATGTTGGAATTATAAGTATTTGGAGTGACCGACACTAGAAGACAAGCCCAAACCACAATTCAAAGAATGAAATATGATAGGGCCCGGGACATAGCATTGTCTCAACCCTCAGACTGAATTGTGACAATTGATCTTCGGTTCAGCCCAGCCAGCAGAAATTGACTGTGCAGTTTTCTGTTGTATTTATTGGACAAACTATACACATTGTAGAAAATTCCTTTAGTGCTACACTGTTGTACTTTTTATCCCAGTAAATTTGAAGGCAGGCAAATTCCAGTCACTAATAAGAACAGGCCATGCTCTTTCATGTCACCCGCAATCATTGTAGTGACGTCTAAGAGGAGATTCCAAGCATCTTTTGGTATTGATCATTTATGATGTTCCAACAAAATTTTATTCCATAAGTCTAAGAATTTAAATCTTCATTATGCACTAAATTCCAGCAGACAACACCCTTTCTAGATCTAATCCTTTTTGTCCTGAATTCTTCACAAAGTTAAAAGTCAACTGGTAAAAGTCCTTAAATCATTCTGAATCTTTCAATTCTTGTTCCATGCTAAGTCCCTGGGCCTTTAATTCCCTATGCTGGCACGCCGCGATCCTGTCATGTTCATGACCTCCTGTTGGAGGGTCTATCTATCTATTGTACACTCGTTCTAACGTCTTCCTACCCAACAAGCATTTTCCATTCTCTATACATAGTTCAGGACTTTGGAAAAAAATTGTCTCTTGCAACATCTAATTTCCAGGCATTTTGAAACAGATATAATGTACTGTTTTTTCACTAGATTACATGAGGATCATAATCTAACAGTGTCCTTCCTGGATGATTTCAACTTGCTCCTGTTGGTGTCCTTGACTCGCACTCATGCACAGTCTCCACAGGGGTTTGGGGAGGAGATCACCAGGCAAGTCCTTTGAGGTTTCTCCTGCTAGGTTCAAGCTACACACCCCTGGGTAGTAGTCTCAAGATTAACCGTTTATGCTAGCCAGAGACTCCACATGCTTACTGTATGTTTTAATGGCTACATTTGCGTTAACTTAGGCCAGCACTAATTATGTACTTGGTCTTTTAGACAATATATTTCTAAACTTAAAAAGGTCTTAACAATAATATCACCATATTCACTCGTTTGCCATATGGTTTACAGGTTGGGTCCTGAAAACCATTCTTGATTGGAGGTTGTGGTGAGCTGCTGTCAGGTTGTGAATCACAGCAGCCCTAGAAGACAGAGCAGAATTGCCCCAAAGAGTTTCCAAGACTTATAGGAGTGGACAACCACATCTTGTAGTCCCACATGCTGGCTGTGGTTTCAAACTGCCGACCTTACAGTTTAAGAGTGCTTTAACCAATGCACCACCAGAGTTCCTTGTTTTATTGCAGGTTCCCTCCAAAAAGCAATCTGAATCCAAAACTTATGTGCCCCTACCTAATTTTAGTGGAAATCCAGGGGAGAAAGAATTGTTTTGCCCCACTGGGATGTTAATTTTGGGATGTGCATGAGTGGGCCTGCCCAGACTAGGGGCACAAAATGGAAGTATTGTTTTGTTTGACTCCAAGCTTGTTGGCAGGGATTGGATTGCAGGTGTTTGCCATGCCAGTAACTGGGTTAGAATAAGTGTTATCTGAGAAGTACCTGAAGATACTTGTTTTGTTGCTTAATTCAGAAACAGTTACAGCAGTACATTGACAGGGAGCTGCCAGAAATTCAGGTAGAATTCAAAAGAGGACACTGAATAAGGGATATCATTACTGATGTCAAATGGATCTTAGCTGAAAGTAGAATACTACTGTATTAGTCTGGGTACTTTGTAGAAACAAATCCACAGCAACTCATGTATAAGAGAGTTTTATGTAAAGAAAGTGTGCATCATGAAAACATCCCAACCCAATGCTGACCAAGCCCACAATTCCAACACCAACCCATTTACCCAACACCAGTCCACAAAGTCCTCCACCTCACAAAACAGAGGCAATGATGCCGACTGCAGGAGGAAAGCTGAGTCAGTGAACGAATAAGCATCTCAGCACTAGCAGGGGTCTCCACATGGCTGCTCCAGCAACCAGGGCTGCATCGGGATAGGTCCATGTGGCTTCTCCTTGGGGATGTCTTGTAGGAAGTCAATCTTGCAAGTTGAAGCAGGGAACTGCTAAGGCAGCTGCACCCTGGTGCGACCATCACAAAGCAAGTGACCTGAGAGCTAGAAAGGCGAGGCTCACCACCCATTTATCTCTCCGCCTTTCAATTAGCCCCACATGTGTTCATCGGCCAGGTTGGCACAATTAACTAACTCAACTACAAAGCTGTTTGTGTTTCATTGGGTAAACATTTGGCTGTGGGGACTGTAGCCTTGAGAACTGGAATTCCAGAACACTTCATTGTGCCCAAGCGGAACCTGTACATGGGCCAAGAGGCAGTTGTGTGAGCAGAATGAAGGCACACTGGATGGCTTAATATCAAGAAAGGTGTGTGTCAGGTTTGTATCTTTTCACTACATGGACTCAATCTGGATGCTGAGTAAATCATCCAGGTAGACGATGTGAAGAAGAATGTGGCATCAGGTTTGGCAGAAGCCTAATTAACAACCATGGAGAAGCAGATGACAACCTTGCTTGCCGAGAAGACCTGAAGCACTTCCTGAGGAGCACCAAAGAGTACAGCCTTCAGTATCAACAGAGAGAACACCCAAATCCTCACAGCTGGACCAATGTGCGTCATCCTGATGAATGAAGATGTGATTGAAATTGACAAGGATTTCGTGATACTTGGGTCCACGATCAATGCTCAGGGAAGCAGCAGTCAAGAGACCAGATGAAGTATGGCCCTGGGCCACTCTGTGACACAAGCCTTCTTTAATGTGTTAATGCACTGATGCCACTGAGGTCCAGTGTGCCCGCCCAGGCCAGCTCACATGTACGCGAAAGTCCAATACTAAATAAGGAAGACCCAACAAGAAGCAATGCACTTGAATGACAGTGCTGGCGAAGCATCGTGAGAGTACCATGGACGGCCAGAACAAGCCCACCTGTCACGTAGGCAGGATGCCCAGCAGCTTCTTCAAATCGAGCTGGCAGGACTTCATCTCACCTACTTCGGACACGGTATCGGGAGAGGCCAGTCCCCGGAGAAGGGCGGCATGCTTGGTTGAGCGTCAGTGAAAACCAAGACCACCCCTGACAAGGGCAATTAACACAGTGGCTACAACGCTGGGCTCCCCCACAGCATGAGGCTGGTGCGGGACCACGTGGTGTTTTATTCTGTTGTACATAAGGTGGCTATGGGTAGGAGTCAGGATATCTAAGAACACAAAGTATCTGATGCTCTTTTTAAAAGACTACCAGCCCCCCTCCACCCCCGCCAATAAAAAAATCTCCACAACTATCCTCCCAAACAAACAAAAATAATCCAAACCAATTCCCACTGAGTCAATTCTGACCCATGGTGACCCTGCGTGTATCAGACTAGAACTGCTCTGAAAGATGTCAGTGACGTGATATTTGGGAAGCTGGCGGGGCCCTTTCCCAAAGGTACCACTGGGTGTATCCGAACCACCAACTGTTATTAGTCAAGTGCTTATCCATTCTCACCACCCAAACTCACTGCCATCCAGTCCGCTCTTATTCACAGCGACCCGAGGACAGGGTGGACCTGCCTTTGCGGGTTTCCAGAGCGGCAGTTCTTGCTGGAGCAGAAAGCCTCATCTCTCTCCCGCCCAGGCCTCCGAAAGCACGGCCAGAGGAGCCTCAGCTCAGAAACTGGCCTCAGTGTGCCCCTTTAGAAGGCGGGGTCACATTTCCCTACCTCGGATTTATTCTCTGATGACCTGTCAATAATCTCTTTGCTATCATAAAACTAGAGTATGCTCATCGACTTCTCTTAAAAATACGGAAATTGAGGCCTGAGAGATTCTCCAGAATCTATTAGCTGACCTCTAACTCTTAAGGACTTTGTAAAATCGATGAGGGAGTTTGTATTCTTCTTGTTTCACATGGTATCAGGAACCCATTTAAATGGGTGTCCAGCTCCAATGAACACAGAAAGCCAGCAGCAAAACCATAGAAACCAGGTCTCCCCCATTCACACTTTTGTCCTGATGGTTTCTTCTCATGGGCTAGCCACAGAAAAGTTCCCACCACATCTGAACGGTTTGCGGGGTTGCCTAGGGCTACCCCACAAGGCAGCCCAGATGTCCAGGGAGAGTAACGTGGGCTCAGTGCTGCCGGGTTTCAAATAATGCCAGAAGAACATCACAAATAGGGTCGTTCCAACAGGAAATTTAAATGTTTCCATAACTGTAAAATATTGTTTTTTCTCTTTCAATACTCCAAAGCACCCATGGCCACTTACTTCTCTCCTAGTTTAAATTGTCCAGGAGTGGAAAGATGGAGCCTAGAGTCACCCAGAAAACCCATCACTTCTCTGGATCGCCAGCCTTTTAATTTAAAATTCAAAATAACTTCTTTTTATTAGTTCTAATCTTTTAAGAACATTTCCCGTCGAAAGGTCATGTGAGTCAACACAGTTAACGTTAGGTCATGGGATTTACTTATTTTGAGAAGCAGTGACAGGATGAACATTAAAAAAACAGCGAGACCAGTTTCTCTTTTAATTTAGAACGTTTTACTTAATTGCTTAAATAAAAAATAACATTAAAATAATTTCTACATGTAGGTACAAAGGATGGATGGCAGAGCTTGAGTCTCTGGTAATTCTGAAAAGATGAACATGATGTGACCATGGTGTGCTGGGAATACACCAACCTTTTCAACCATGACTTCCCACCTGTGGTAAAGCAGGGGCGCTAACAGACCTCACGATGCACAGATCCGCGTCAGTCCACGACTTTGATGGAATGAATGCTTGTGAGAGACGGCGCCTGAGCTGACCGGGCTCCCAGAGACCTGGCAGCTGAGGTACTACTTTCGTGGTGAATGGCCCGGGGATATTTAGCTGCAGTCGCCTGAGGAATGGTTTGCTGGAAAGATAAAAATCGACTTGAATACGCTCACAAGTACATATATATATATATTAACTATCATTTAGTCTATAATTTCACTGATGGTTAAGCGCCCAGTAGTAAACACATGCAATGAGCTGGATGAAGCAGCCAGATAAACAACAAGGTGTTTCTCCTGCATAGGAACCCACCCTCAATTAGGGCTGATTCAGGGTGCAATAACCACAAGTTAGCATTGCGCCATATTTCGGGATTCTGAAACAAGTCCTGGGAGTCATTCCTCAAAGAAGAATCAAGTAGAATCCTGTACTGTTTATAGAGGCTCAGCACAGAAAGGGAGGGACTTTGTGGTGTTTGAAAGATGGTCCAGCCCCAAGCCATTCCCCAGCAGCAATCGCTGAAGACAAAGCAGGTGCATAAGCAAATGTGGTGAAGAAAGCTGATGGTTCCTGGCTATCAAAAGATATAGCATCTGGGATCTTAAAGGCTTGAAGGTAAACAAGCAGCCATCTAGCTCAGAAGCAACAGAGCCCACATGGAAGAAGCACACCAGCCTGTGTGATCACGAGGTGTCGATGGGATCAGGTATCAGACATCATCAGAACAAAAAAATCTATCATAGTGAATGAGAGGCAGTGCGGAGTAGAGAACCAAAGTTCATCTGTAGGCAGCTGGACATCCTCTTACAGAAGGGGCTTGCAGAGGAGAGGAGCCAGTCATGAAACATACAACTTTCCTCTAATTTTTTAATGCTTCCTCCCCCTACTGTCATGATCCCAATTCTACCTTACAAATCCAGCTAGACCAGAGGATGTACACTGGTACAGATAGGAACTGGAAACACAGGGATCGAGGACAGATGAACTCCAAATGCACTAAGAGTTGATATCTTTGTCTGTTAGGGAAGTTGATGTAAATCCAGAATGAAGTTTGTCATCAATTGACATTTCACCTTTTTGGAAACGAGGAAACGACTCGTACACTTGAGTTTTCCTCACAGCACTGGCCTAGTACACTGTGTCCAACATCATACTTGTTTCTGTGGCATTTTTCTTGAGCAGGACACAAAATTTCACAGCTGCACCCTGTTCTCTTAAATCAGCCATCACAAAAACGAGGTTTGAATGAAACTGCTTTTATGAAAAAATTTACTGTGACCAGAGAGAACCTTCCCAAGCGACACCGCTGGGTGCACTAACTCAGGGCGAGTTGCTTGATGCTTGCCTAGCAGGAAAAAAGCATACCCTGAAAGCTGCGCTCCACCCAGCGCAATCCCGGGTGTTTTGGGTACCCCCTCGATCTACAGGCTACCACAGAAAACGGCAGAGCCAGTACTAGAATCATGAATTGCGACACCTGCCTGCCCCCAGCATGTCATTTCACTGTTTTTTCCTCAGTAAACTCTCAGGAAAAAGACTTTTTGATAAAAGGTCATCAGATGTGGACTCACCATTGTGACGGGATGATGCTTTTCCACAACAACTGAGCTCATGGGAGGAGAAACCCCCATTATAGCTAAGCCACTACTGATTCTGTTCTTTGAAGCAAAATCACATTTCCCTGTGACCCGGGCGGTGATTGTTCTTCCAGCTTTCTGTTGGGCAGATATCACAACTCTTGGCACGTACTAAACAAAGAAAGAGATATCCAGTGGGTAAAAAACCCCACAGCAAAACAGAGAGAACTTTTGGTTCTTTAACATATGAAGAAAATAATGATATATTTGACCAACTTTAGGGGGAGTGGGGATGGGAGCCTGCCCCAAACATAGGACGAAATACCCACCAGCAGCCTTCAATCATGGCACACTGCTTCATAAGCTCTGTGGACTCTCTCTAAAAACAATGTGTTTTGAAAGAATGACATGCCCAGGGAACTGCAATTCTAGAACCCCCTGGTTTCCTGCAATGGATACATATTGTGTAATGATAGTACAACATCAGAGCCAGGACTCCTCACCGGTAAATGCCTGGGTGTGGCTCAACAGCATCTTACCACATGTGTAGTTTTGTTTATCTACCACGGGTGTCCAGAGGCAGGACCACTCCGCGGCTGCAAGATCTACCCCTGCTCTCTCACACCCACCCCCTCCCCAACCCTGCCTCCACTAGTCAGGTTCATCAACGGACTCTTTAGGCATAATTAGTATTATTAACTGCTTATTTACTTGTGCTTCTTTACCTTATATATATTTCTTTCACGAAGCAATACAGACAAGTGACTGCTGTAATTTTTAAGGACACGTTTTCATACTAACATATTACATTGTCCAATGAGTATAGGGAAAAAGAAAATGTTGTAAAACTGAGTGTGGTAAATAATGTACAGCTCTTCTTGGTATGGTTGAATTATTGAACTGTATGATAAGCGAAGTGCCAATAAAACTGTTAAAAAACAACAACTAAATTACAGTATGTCTAACAGTCTCTGTTCTTGGGTATATGCTTCCTCTTATTATTAGAGATAATTTGGTAAAACAGGACTTCCCCTTTCTTTTGGGAGTCATCTCCATCGCATACACTGCCAAAACTGAGATGATCCTATCCAGAAAGAATGTCATTTGTCATTTTATAGCTTTTGTTACTTATTGCTGGGACGAATATGCAGGAGTGGTGCATTTCTCATTGTTAATTCACTGTCAATTTCAAGTGTTTTAAGTCTGAGGAAGAACCTACAATATGATTGAACATATGGTTCTTCAGTCATGTTTCACATTTGTATTCCATTTTGCCACTACCTGTGTTCCTTAACTTTTTGCCAGGAAGGATGGCTGTCCTCTTACAGGCTTTTTGGAATAGCTTCTGATGAGTATTAACCTCATTTACCACAGAGAGTTCTCGCGTGGTCTGAATTACTTCCTTTTTCTTATAAGTTTCATGTTTACTCTTCAATGCACTTAAATTAAAAAAAAATTGTCAGCAGTCTTAGCAAGACTTTTTAATTTCCGTAAGTAAAACAAAAGCAACCTGCTTTGTATCTCTCTGCAAATTTTACTCTTATTATTTTCTAATATTAAGTTCTTTAGAGTAACTTTAAGAATCTAAACCCTCCGTATTAATTACTGGTCTAAATTAATTTTCTCTCTAACAACAGTTTTTCCAAAAGCATTGATGACACCTCCACTTTCCCTACTGGCACAGTCCTTCTAGGCTGTCATTTATTACGTTTTCATATACTTGCATCTAGCTGTGCACGATCACAACCGCATAGTGAAAACAAACAATAGTGGGCTGCACAGAGATGCCTCTGAAAACATTAAATGAGAGAATACTGATGTGTTTCAAGAACTCCAGGGAAAATAGCATTATTGATGTTTTACAAATCCTTAGAGTTGGGACTGAATTCATTACAGTTGCATAGAAAACCAATACAAAGAAAAGAAAAAAACCAATAAAAAGAAAGGGAAAAAAACTATACTAAAAAGGCAGGGTAATTATATGACACATTCACAGCTCAGATGTATTTTCAGTCATCATAGATAGTGACCAAGGCACTATATACATTATATATAGTGTACAGATATACACTCTATACATTATATACATTCATTGTATATATGTATGTAAATGGAGGGCGTCAGAAAGGAAGAAAAAGAGAGGGAGTAAGAAGTTATCAGAAGCTAGACCAGAGGATGTATACTGGTATAGATAAGAGCTGGAAACACAGGGAATCCCAGACAGATAAACCCCTAGGACCTATATTGAGAGTAGTGATACCAGGATGGGAAGGGGAACGTGGGGGGAGAAAGGGGAAACCGGTCACAATGATCTACATATAAGCCCCTCTCTGGGGAACGGACAACAGAAAATTGGGTAAAGGGAGACATTGGTCAGTGTAAGATATGAAAAAATAATAATAATTTATAAATTATCAAGGGTTCATGAGGGAAGGAGGGTGGGGGAAGGAGGGGAAAAATGAGGAACTGATACCAAGGGCTCAAGTAGAAAGCAAATGTTTTGAGAATGATGATGGCAGCAAATGTACACATGTGCTTGACACAATGAATGTATGTATGGATTGTGATAAGAGTTGTATGAGTCCCCAATAAAATGATTTAAAAATAAAAAAGCTAATTGTAAAATAAAAATACTTAAAAAGCTAAAAAAAGAAGTTATCAGAAGACCTTTCCATACATAGTAGGAAGTCGGGAGATAATTGATAAAGAATCTATAATCAATTGTTTTTAGAAAAGGTAGATAGGAAAAACAGCTAACTGCTTTGAGAAGGGAAGTCAGAGGACTGTTTCTCACTATAATCTCTGGAGAAACTGCTTTGCTTTTTAAACTATGAACTTTTCTGGATCTTCTGAGTTTAAGAAACCAAGTACTAGATTTTAAAATATCCCACATGTTTTATGGACTAAATTCATGTTTCTGACCCCGAGGAACTTTTATTGTACTTCTTAGAAAAATAAGGGACAAAACAGATTTCAGAAATCGTTAAAGATCCTTAAACTACAAAACAAAAATTGACAGCAAGAAAATTCACCACAAATGGAAAACCTGAATTTTTCTTCTTATTCTTGTTTTCTCACACTGGAGCAGCAGGTATGCAGGCAGTCCCGGGTTATGGACGTCCCACATACAGCCAATTCCTACCTGTCCTGTAGTGATAACATTAAATTTGTCCTCCCTTTGATATTGAACCAACTCAAAAAATACCAAAAAACCTCGGTGCCATTGAGTGAATTCCTACTCACGGTGCCCCGATAGGCCAGGGTAGAACTGCCCCTGTGGGTTTCTGAGAACCAACCCCCACTCCTAACAGACTCTTCATCACCATCACTGTCATGTGCTGCGTGTGTCACTGTTTAATCATCAACTGGCTTCTATTCTTTTCTTGTACCAAAGCAGGGCTAACGAAGAACTGTCACACCTGCTCTGACTCACCTACAAGTTCCACAAAGGCTAACGAGAGAGCTGGAAATGGGACGGCCCAGGGTATATTCCCACCCACAATCCACACTTATGTTGGAACCTATTAAATTTATTAGCTTAGCTGACTTAGAAAGTGCTATTAAAAATCTTAACCTTCTAAGCCATACCAATGAAAGGGGGGTAAATAAAAATGAGTATATAAGAAAAAACAAAGAAAATTACATGAACCCGCCCCCCCCCACTAAAAACAGAGTCCTTGTAAATATTTAGTGTAAATGTATCTTGTCTACAGCTGGAATGTACAGGAACAAACACATGAATGCCTAGAGAAGTCTGGACTGAGGGAAACAGCTGGCAGTGTCTACCGATGATAAGCCTCACCGATCTCAGCCGACACTGATATGGGCAACACTCTCAGTAAGATGGAAATGTACTCTCTATGGCAAGAACAGATTTTGAAAAGAGTTGTTCTGAAAATCAATAGGGACATTTCAAAAGAACTTTAAAAGGAAAAATTGCTGCTACATTAGGTGGAGAGAAAGTGTTTTAAAACACAGAGGAATTTTATGAGTAGATTGCTTTGTAAGTTCTATGATCATGCTTTACTTTGTAGAAAGTGAACTGGAAATCATAAAAAAAATATACCGTGAATGCTGTTAATATAAAGCAGATGACTTAATTACACCCTGTGGAGCCATACTTAGTTTGACTCCACTTTACAGACTGGAAAATTAGTAAAACATGTATGTTTTTGGACAAAATTGTGTGAAAAGTATGCATGTACATGTTTTAAAATCATTCCTTGCTGATATTTTTTGATCAATGTTAATTACTAGTCCCACTTATGTTGGATCCTATTAAATTTATTAGCTTAGCTGACTTAGAAAGTACTATTAAAAATCTTAACCTCCTAAGCCATCCATAACAATGAAAGGGGGGGAAAATAAAAATGAGTACATAAGAAAAAACAAAGAAAATTACATGAAGCCCCCCCCCTTAAAAAACAGAGTCCTTGTAAATATTTAATGTAAATTATCTTAGCATTTGACAGAGACACTATATATTACTGGTTAATAGTTCAATCTACAGTGCTGGTTCAGAATACAGCGCTCTGAAGTCAGATTGTGAAGGTCTCAATTTTAACTCTCTTTTTTTATTGTGTCTATGGACAAGTTACTCTAAGCTGCACTTCCTTTTATTTATAAAATAGGGAAAGCAGGTGTAACTGTCCAAGGACACCCTTTCCTTTCCAAATGAGATGAAGTGGAAAGCTGGAAGAGAAACCCCATTAAGCAGGTTTAAGGCAAAAGGAGAATATCGTCCCTCAAGATTTCCAACTGGAATTAACAAAAGATGAAGGTGCCATCTATTGTTCATCTTAGTGAACTGCAACAGTTTTGCTTGTAATAACCTATTATTTGAAATACGTCAACCGTGCCATTCTGCTATTTTCCTTAATATACTGAGGTGTTTACAAAAAAGACGTAAGTTCCTAGATCCAGATTTTACTTCACGAAGAAAAGAAGATTTCTTCCCCAGACTGCTCTTCCCAGTGCTGCCCAGCTTGCTTTCTGCACAGCACTGCTTTAGTTATGTAGAAACTGAGTCCAACCCGCTTGAGGCGTCACAGGAAGGCCCGCGATTAAAAAAGCACCCAAATTGGGGCTGGAGCAAAAGCCCCGCCTCCTTCTTCCCGATGGCGCCTTCACGCTGGGTTAATTGGACAGCGCCTCTCTAGGCACCTGCTTTCATTATTAGGGTGCGTCTCAAAAAAAGCAAGAGAGGAAAACTGGAGTAGTCCAGTCATACACAGAAGAAGAAAGCCGCCATTCTACTTCCAGGCTGACTGACACGTGGCTCGCCTTTCCACCCTGGACCTGAAGGCTGTACTAATGTGAATAAAATTGGATGCACATGTTTTTAATGGGGTGGTGTGGTGTATGTTGGGTGAAGGGTGAAGATACGGGGAGAGGGCTGGCTATACAATGCAGTGTTTTTCAGGATTCAAAGAGTTCAAAAGTATCCCAGATGATCCAATTATCCTTACAATGGGTGGTAAAACAAAAAGGGGGTCAACAAATTCAGTGAGTTCTTTCATAAATATTCAAGTTTTTGGGTAAATCCACATGTACAAATAGTGTAGTCACATTTTAAGAAGGGCATTAAAAAAAAATCTAGCTCTACCAAGGGCTCAAGTAGAAAGCAAATGTCTTGAGGAAGATGAGAGCAACAAATGTACAAATGTGCTTGACACACAACGGATGTGTGTATGGATTGTGACAAAAGTTGTACAAGCCCCCAATAGTGATTAAAAAAAAACAACTAGCTCGGTGTGTTATCTCTGAATGACAATCCAGAAGTTTAAATAATCATTAATTGTGCTTATCTCAGTGAGATCATTTTAGAGAATCACTCCTAATCTCAGTGAGATCATTTTAGAGAATCACTCCTAAAATGTGTCATCACAGCAAAGAAACAGCTGAGTGTATGTCAGGATGAATTTTGGTTAGGGTCTCAGTTCTGTCATATGACTCCCCCCCACAGTCAAATGACTCTTACTAGCCAAGTGCCACGTGACACGGCATTTCTTTAACCTCTTCGAGTCAAGAAGAGACACGATAAATAACAGACCTTAACAAAATCAGCAGCTACCAATAAGTAGAAATCAGTGACAATGAAGTTGGAATACTAAAGGGGACCAAATTCAATGCCTTCAGGAGAGGCTGTCCAGAGCAAGGCCACCTTCTGATGGCCCCCCACGGACTCAGTATGCCACCTTCCTTCCTCTCACTACGCGGCTAGGGCTTAGGGAGAGAAGGAGGCACGAGATCAGAATCACCTCAGGACTTTATCAAACCGTGTGCTCTCGTGTCAGGGCTCGGCAGAAGAGGGCGAGGTATGGAAACCCACTGCCACCGAGTCCAATCTGACTCAGTGACAAAACCCACAGAGGCAAATCTCACAAACGTGGCTTGCTCATCACCAAACCCTTCTATGTTGAAGGACGCGGGTTTAGTAACAAGACATCAAAGGAGTCAGAAAGCAGCCCTGGTGGCGTACATGTTAGGTTGCTGACCACAGGTCTGTGGTTCAAACCCACCTGCCTCTCCAAGAGAGAATGATTTATAGCCTAAAATCAGCACAAAGATTTACAAGCTTGGAAATCCACTGGGGATGGTTCTACCCTGTTGCACAGGGTCACTATGAATTGGAATCAACCCTATGGCACATATGAAAAACTTTGGTCTACAACTCTTATCATATTAATACCTTGGCTTACTTCACGGTAGGCAAGTTCTCATATAAACGCTCTGTCTTCATCTCCCCTCTGTACCTCCTTAGCCACAGCGGAGTTTCACCACAATTAAGAATGCAAATGAAAACCAAACCAAGATGGAGTCACTAAAGTAATGCTAGATATATAACCATTTCAAGGAAAAAGGGATTATTAACAGAAAATACATGAGTCATTCGTTTCCTGAACCTTTGAAAATACTCAGCATTTTTTAAAAAGAGCAACAAAAAGTCTCTTACTAGCTCTCTCCCTAAATAAACTTTTCCTTTTTGGAAAATTTAAGATCAAGGAGTTCTTTCTTAAAAATAAATAAATTAAAAAGTCCCTTTTTTGGTTGTAATTGCCACGACTGCAATGAGTGTTAGCTACTATTTTTCATTACAGGAGTAAAGCTTTGCCATTTTGAGGACGGATGTTTTCTGTCGCTCCGCCTGCATACCATGCAGCATCCTCGCTTTTCTCAACACCGTGTCGGATGTTCTGAGTTCAAACACAGGCGATTCACACACACGGCGGACACTTGTAATCATGGCACTAACCATTTCTTCTGGTGCAGCAGGAGCTGCGGCCGCCGCGGCCACCACAAGAGGAACCGGCATGTGAAGGGAAAAAGCAGAAGCAGTGCCAGCAGAAGTGACGGAAGCCGCAGAGGGGGCGGCAGCGGCAGCACTGGCCGTTCCCACTGTCGTGGGTGCTGCGGGTGTTGGGGGCCGTGGCGGTGGCCCAAGTCCTGAGGGCCCCAGAGGCACGGTGAGGTCCACATGAGCAGAGGGTTCTTTCACTCGAACACCGGGCCCAGAGTCTTCCCTTTGAGTATCGGTGCTGTCCATCCCTGGGAATCAGAAGTTAATTTTATTAAACATCTTTTAAGGTTACTATTATTATCCAAACCATGAAACCACAGGTACTAAGTAAAATGTGGTCCTAACAAAAACGTGTGTCATATGCTGGATGCAATGTTCAAATAATAAAGCATGTCACAATTCTGTGGTTAATTCCAGCAGACTTCAGAGCACTTCTGTCAACATGGGAGACTTAATGAATGATTTGCTCTTATGCAAAAGATAAAAATAAATGATATACTTAGCTGGGACTTTAGTAAAATGTGTTGTCACCACAACCATTACACTAATATAACACCAAACCTAAGGATTTATGTTCTTTTGTACTATTTCATACAACTACGCTGACAAATGGTCTGGGATTTAGTTTATTTCTTTCTACTGCTCCTACCCTAACAAAAATAATACATTTTTGTTTTTGGATTTCAGCCAACAATAGTATATCAATAAGTAAAACTAAGAGCTTCACTTCTGACAGTGTAAAATAAATTTATTTTAGCAGGTAAGTGATACAAGAATCAAGATTCTATTTTCACATTTAACTGATTGTAGTGACATTTAGCAAACTTTATGTAGAAATGAATGACACAGCACTTATATAGCTAGAATAGTGTCTTCTACAAAAAAGGAAAATAAAAACCCACCCCCAAAACACGGGTGATGGGGAACAGGGCACTTTATGTCTCCACAGGAAAGGGAGAGGGGCCAGACGCCATCCCAGAGCTCCACACCTTGAGCAACACACTGGCATGGAGCAGCAACTAACAGAGAGGACGATGGGGCTGGGCCTAAGCCGATCTATGTTGACCCACCCCCCAAAGAAGGCAATGTAGAGGACAGCACTGCAGGTATAAGCCAGGGAGAGAGGCGGGTCTGTCTAGATCACCTGGGAGCAAACCATGGACCTCATCCTGGCCCACCAAGCCCCGGGGACATCACTGCTCAGGGAAGTCAATGCACAGAGAGGACTGCAGGGTCAGCTCCACCACGAGACACGACATTCCCTCTCTGACCTACAGTGCTACTGGGGACAGCACTAGAGACACTGTGCAGAGAGTGTGCCTGGTTGGCCCCATGCACAACAGGGGGAAATGCCAAGGGAGCTCAACAGGGCAGCAAGGGGAGCAAAGAAATCAAGGAATCCTGAAAATAGACTTCTGACTCAGAGGGCAGGGCTTTGCACTTCATCAGACTTGATCAGAAAACATACATAAGGGTCAGCAGACAGACCTGGAACTATTGGTTGTTTGTTTGTTATTTTTTCTTGTTTTGTTTTTGTTTGTGTTTTTCTTTTGCCCTATATCTATATAAGACAGGCAGGACAAACAATCCTGAGTAGAAAACAATGGGGCTAGCAGTTCCAGGGGGGAACAAAAGAGAGGGGGAGGGGAGAGACAGTGGGAGCCAA